GCTCTCCTGCTGACTTGTGCACCTGACTTCTGACTTTTGTGTTAAAGCCCTGCCATGGTGGCCTAGTGGCTAAGGTGCTCGGCTGCTGACCTGCACGTCATGGGATCGAATCCCGGCTGTGGCTGCTGCACTTCCGATAGAGGCAGAATTGTTGTAGGCACGTGTGCTCAGCTTTGGGTGTACGTTAAAGAACCCCAGGTGGTCAAAAACTCGAGAGTCCTCCACTACGGCGTCTCTCATAACTATATGGTGGTTTTGGGTCGTTAAACACCACATAGCAAATTGACTTCTGTACTTGATGTTCATCACAAAGTTATGCAACCACTGATCAAACATCAATCAATTGATTTTCAGTTATGATCTTTCTCGGTCTGGCTGCCTGCGGTTTGTTCCTTTTTTGCCATGCTTTCTTGATATCATTAGTCTAACTTGTTTCGCAAAACACGAGCACCAACATACACAGGACAGTGTTTCAGTAAGCTGTCACGCATGCACTAGTACCCTTTTATTTGTTCCATGACACGATGTCATACTTCAAGAGCTGATAAACGGAAAGTTGTTTGTACTCTTTTATTGACAACATGCAGTGGCGTTGTGGTTAGAGCATCTGCCTTGCAAGCAAAATGTCTGTGGTTCAAATTCCAGTGCCACGCAGTTTTCAACCGTATAAAAAAAAAACGCATGGTGATGGAACTGGATTAAAGAGGCCTGGGGTGCGGCCTCACCAGTAACCACCGTCGGTAATGCACTGCCTCACCAGAAAAGAATTGGCCACCCTGGTGCAGTATCTGGCCACTACCTCCCACATGCATACGTCAATTTACTCACAGCCCTCAGTCCCCAGAAGCTGCGAAGCAACTGACCACAGCAGCGGTCAGATCTGCAACGCAGTAGAGGGTGCTAAGAATCTCTGGATCCGGACAGGCCGCCATGGGAACCTGAACTTGGCAACGTTTAATGCTAGAACCTTATCTAGTGAGGGAAGTATAGCTGTACTATTCGAGGAGCTATAGGGTATTAAGTGGGATATAATAGGGATCAGTGAGGTTAGGAGGATAGATGAGGCCTGTATGGTGCTACAGAATGGGCTAGCCCTTTGCTATCAGGGCTTGGCTGGCTGAAGAGAACTGAGAGTGGGGTTCCTAACACAGACACGTAGCTGGCAATATAGAGGAATACTATAGGAATAATGAAAGGGTGGTAGGTACCATAATTAAACTGAGTAAGAGATACAAGATGAAGGTGGTACAGGCTTACGCGCCCACATCTAGCCTGATGATGCTTCAGTTGAAAGCTTCTACGAAGACGTGGAATCGGCAATTAGTAAGGTAAAAATGCAGTACACTATACTGATGGGAGACTTTAATGCAAAGGTAGGGAAGAAGCAGGCTGGAGATGAGGCAGTAGGAGATTATGGCATCGGTACTAAAAACTTCAGAGGAGAGCAACTACTAGAATTCGCAGAATGCAATAATTTACGGATTTTGAATACCTTCTACCGAAAATGAGGAAACCGCAAGTGGACATGGAGGCGCACTAATGGCAAAATTAAAAACGAAATAGACTTTATAGTGAGTGCACACACAGGCATTGTGAAGAATGTGGAAGTGCTTGACAAGGTACGATGCAGTGACCATAGAATGGTGCGGTCTCGAGTTCATATAAACTTGAAAAAGGAACGACAGAAACTTGATACGCAAGAAGCCAGTCAATGAGCTAGCACTGTGAGGGAAAGTACAGGAATTCGAAGTCTTGCTTCAGAACAGGTACTCGGCTCTTTGTGATGAAACCAACCTTAGCGTAGATACAATGAATGATAATCTGACAAGTATCATTACGGTGTGTGCAGTGGAAGTTGGGGGCAGGGTAGTTAGACAGGACACTGAAAAGCTTTCCCAGGAAATGAAGAATCTCATTAAGAAGCGTCAAATCATGAAAGTCTCAAGTACAACAGATAAAAGAGAACTGGCAGAGCATTCGAAGTTGATTCATAGGTGTAAGGTATGCGATGTAAGAAGGTATAACATGGAGAGAATCGAACACGCTCTAAAAAATGGAGGAAGCGTCAAAGCAGTGAAGAGGAAACTTGGGATAGGCAAAAAATCGGAGGTATGCACTAAGGGACAAAGAAGGCAAAATAACTACCAATATGGATGGGATAGTTCAAATAGCGGAGGAGTTTTACAGATATCTGTACTGTACCCGGGACAACCACGACCTTAATACTATATAAGAACTAGCAGTAACTCAGATGACACCCTACCAGTTATAATAAAAGAAGTCACAAAAGCTTTGGAGAGCATGCAAAAAGTCAAAGCTGCTGGGGAGGATCAGGTAACATCTGATCTGCTGAAAGACAAAGGGCAGATTGTGTTAGAAAAACTAGCCACCCTGTTTACGAGGTGTCTCCTGAGGGGAAGAGTACCAGAGTCTTGAAAGATTGCTAACATCATCTTAATACATAAGAAAGGAGATGACTAGGACTCGAAGAATTACAGGCCGATCAGCTTGCTCTCTGTGGTATACAAGCTATTTACAAATGTAATTGCTAACAGAGTAAAAAAAACATTAGAATTCAATCAACCAAAGGGACAAGCAGGATTCCGAACAGGCTACTCAACAATTGACCACATTGATACTATCAATCAGGTAATAGAGAAATGCTCAGAATATAGCCAACCACTATACATAGCCTTTATAGATTATGAGAAGGCATTTAATTCAGTAAAAATATCAGCCCTCATGCAGACACTGCATAATCAGAGCATCGATGGAGTATATATAAACATCCTGGAAGAAATCTACAGGGCATCAACTGCTACTATAGTGCTTCATAAAGAAAAGACCAGAATATCAATCAAGAAGGGTGTAAGGCAGGGGGACACAATCTCCCCAATGCTATTTACCGTGTAATTACAGGAGGTTTTAAGAGGGCTGGAATAAGAACAGTTAGGCATGAGAGTTAATGAAGAGTACCTTAGTAACCTGCACTTCACTGATGACACTGCATTGCTGAGTAACTCAGGGGACAAATTGCAACTGATGATTACAGAGTTACACAAGGAGAGAAGAAAGGTGTGTCTTAAAATAATCTACAGAAAATGGAAGTAATGTACAACAACCTCGGAAGAGAGCAGCGTTTCGAGATAGGTAATAGTGCACTTCAAGTTGTAAAAAACTATGTCTACTTAGGGCACGTGATAACCGCAAAGCAAAACCGCGAGATTGAAGCAACTAGAAGAATAAGAATGGGGTGGAGCACATTTGGCAAGCACTCTCAAATTATAACAGGTAGATTGCCACTAACCCTCAAGAAGAAGGTATATAACAGCTGTATTTTACCGGTACTTAGCTACGGAGCACAAACCTGGAGACTTACAAAAAGGGTTCAGCTTGAATTGAGGACAATGCAGTGAGCAATGGAAAGAAAAATGGTAGGTGTAACTGAGAAGACAAGAAGACAAACGGGGGGTAAAGAGATCATAGTTGAAATCAAGAAGAGGAGATGGACAAGGGCCGGGCATGTAGCGCGTAGACAGGATAACTGCTGGTCATTAAGGGTAACTAACTGGATTCCCAGAGATAGCAAGCGGGTTAGGGGGAGACAGAAGGTAAGGTGGGCAGATGAGATTAAGAAGTTTGCGGTTGTAAAGCTGCAGCAGCAAGCACAGGACCGGGATAACTGGCGGGACATAGGAGAGGCCTTTGCCCTGCAGTGAACGTAGACAGGCTGATGATGATAATGATGATGATTATGATGACGATGACTGAAATGAAAAGAGAACCACCGGGACTGCACATCCCAGTGTTTGCCCAAATGCAGGGAGATGTATGATATGTTGAATGAAGCATGCTGTGAGGCTCTGGAAAATTTTTTCGTCGTAGACCCTCTTGTAGAAAAATGATCATCACAAGACAGAGGGACGAAACCATGACGCACCAATGTCATGGCATAGAGGCGATAGAGAGGTGGTGGCAAGGGGACAGGGGGCGGGCGTTCTTTTCTCTTTTTTTTTTCCGCACTCGCGCTTGTCGCTGAGCTGTCCTGCGTAAGTTGATGCTGGCTCCTGGTGTCAGGCTGGCATGACAGAGACAGTGGCTCTCCCTTTTTTTCTTTCCTTTTTTCCTTCTTGCGCGTGCTCTTACCGACTTTAGACGTTACTTCGGCGCAGCACAGCTCTCAGGAATATTTATTTATTGCTGGACTTGCTATAGACAGGATTTTACTGAGCACGCAGGAGCACCACCTATATGCCGTTCGTTATCTGACACCTGACTGAGAGCTAGTGTAGTAGTTATTAAAAATGTCTAGAAGAATCGGCTTCCTGTTTACCCATTCCTTATGAAGAATACTAAGATTCACTCAGGTTAGAAGATGGAATGTTGAAGGACAGAAAAGTTACATTAAAGGTTTCATGAAAGGTTGGAAAAAAATACAAAATTTCACGACAATTTCACTGCACTATCTTGGTGCTGCACTGGTAAAAGGCGACTAAGTTCAATCTTGATAGGCTTTTCATTGGGTAATAGACTGTGCCAATGCAATGATGACGTTTTTGTGTCATCCTATTGCTTTTCTTGTGCAGTCACATTTTCAGCTTTGATACACTGGAGTAAGAACTTGTCGGAATTCGGTAAATCATGTTATGCACGCTTTCCTTACAGGCCTATGAGATTTTTTCACGATTGAACTTTAGGCCTCAGAAAAATAGGCAACAACATCTGGGCCTTGATAAAGATCGAGGCAAAGTTTGCATTATAGCTTAGCGCTATGTCTGTGCTGCCTACTGATGCACAAGATTTTCTCGTGATACCAGTATATGCAAGAAAATCCTCTATGCAAATTCTAGAAATTAAAAGAACACCTGTAATACATAGCCTCAGAGAGAAAACAAATAGTTCAAAAGACTCTCCATATTCTTTGTTATGCATTTGGCACTTTACACTATTGAATGTTCACTTGTTTTGAAACAAGATGTACTTTCTTATTTTCCTTATAGCTTCCCACACAAAATGTTTGTGGATGTATCAGCAACAGTGATGACAAATGGCCATGCACAGAAAATCAAGACAAGACGCCGAAAGATGAAGAGAAGACGGAAAAATTGCAGGCACAACAGAAAGAGCTTGCGGAAAGCAAAGAAAGAAGAATATTGTAAGTAAAGAACTTGCTCAGTTCTCTCGAGCTGTAACATTAATTACTTAGGCACGTCTGCATATTGTGGTGCAAGAATGAAACAAAATTGGACTTCACAGATCATGGTATAGTAAGTGATATGTGTCCGTGTGAATGAGCAAAATCTAGGAGGCCAGATGTGTGGTCGAGTTTGTATATATTGTCACTGGAAACACGAGAACAGAAGGGAGACAGAAGCGAATATAATTACAATATTTACAACCAGACGTGCCACTGAATAGTCAGAATCTCGCATGGCTCACAAACCCTCTTCATGTCTTCGTGTCCTATGGCGCCCTCAAGTGTCATGCCTCATAACATCACCCCTGGTGGACAAAGCACCGTCACTGTGCCTACAGCGTCATACTGCACTGGCAGTGTAATAACGTTTTAGGAGTGGCATGTTAACGATATCTGTAGATGGTGTAGCCCAAGACGTGTGCGGATGAACGGCAGTGTTGAAGTAGTCCACGTCAGTGACATTGCGGAAAACTTTGTAGAGTCTATGGAGGCAGAAGCTCTTCGTTCAAGATGTGGCATGCAGATGTGGACAAGAGATTCAAGAGGGTAGTCGATATCGTGGTGTCACTCATAGTAGCACTCCCTTTGAGAGGTCTGAGAAGCACAGAGCCTCGAATGGGCAATTCGGCGACGACGAGGGCTCGGGAAGCGATGTTTCGAGTGGGAGGGTTGTTACGAATATATTATATGAAAGGAGCGCATCAAATGACAACATTGAGGCACGGCTGTGTAGAAGTGTCATTTTTTGATGAATTGTAGGCAAGTGTAAAGTAGGGTAAGGTTGCATTCTAATCACGGTGGCGAGCGGAGACCTACATAGACATATATTCGTTAGAGTTCGGTTGCGGTGCTTCTTAAGACCGCATAAATGATAGGCTGTACTAAGTTGTTGTTTGGTAGAGCAGATACAAAAAAGTTCTTCGACGACTCTTGTGAGGAAGCAATGGCCATCATTGGTAATAAGCTGGTGTACAGCAATATGCCAAAAAAGGACGTTATTGAGCAGAAAGTCTGTGACCTCTGTAATGCAGCTATTTCACAAGACACGTGTTACTGCACACCTGGTCGCATAATTAGTTACGACAGCAATCTATTTGTTACCTAATGTGAACGTAGGTAGAGGTTCGAGCAACTCGAAGCTGATGCAAAAGATTAGTTCTAGCAGAATGTCGGTTTGAGCACACCAGCTTGATGCAGAGCAGGACGTTTGCGACGCTGACAAAGCTCGCAAGCAGTGCATATCAGCGCACGCAACAATACATGTCAGGCCAAAGGAACTGCTGCCGCACATGGTTGTTGGTATGGGAATTGCCAACATTGCCTGCAGTCGGAGCATCATGTAGACATTGAAGAATGGCAACACCCAGGTGTAGTGAAAGAACTGGCCATAATTTCGGACCATCAGGCTTTATGCTGCGGTGATATAGAACGCATTACGTTGGACATACTGGTGATTTGAAAAAAGATTTGAACGTCCAGAAGATACTTGCTGAATGCCCATGCTAATTGAGGGTTGCATCCCGATTTTGTACTGCACTAATATAACACAAACCGGATATGGCGAGTATACAGTAATCATTTTCATGGACAAAGAAGCTAGCAGGTTCTTTCGCGGATGGTGCGAGAGACATTCACTGTTTTGGTGCAGCTTGACAGATTTGTAAATTGCTTCGAAGGAATACCCTTGAAGACGAAAAACCCAGTGATCAAGGCGACCAGTTGGGTCCTTAAGTGACAACAACCAACTGAGAGTGTGGTGGTCAGTAATAACCGAGAACTGACAACCGTACAAGTAGGAGCGAACTTTGGTGACAGCCCAGACTAGCGCTAGATACTCACACTTCGTGGTAGAAGAATTCCACTCAGGTGCGGAGAGAAGGTGGCTGGCATACACAAAAACAGGTATTTGGCCAGCCCGGTGTTCAGAATAAACAGTTCCGACTCCATGCCCACTAGCATCTGTGTAAACTTCTGAAAGTGCCAATGGGTCGGAGTGGGCAGCATTGGTGGGGAAGTGAGGAAGTTGAGCAGCATTGAGAACGCAGTTGCTTGGCCTTGACCCCTTCAGAAAACACGTCCATGTTGAGAAGGTCAGTGAGTGGTCAAGAAATACTGGCGAAATTCTTACACAATGTTGCAAGTAAAAGCATAAGTCAACAAATCTACGCCTATCTTTAGTAGAAAAAGGCTCAGGGAAGTTCTTTAAAGCCCTAATATTTTCAGAATCCGGCTGCACACCCGTAGCACCGAGCACAATTTATTTGGTGCCTGCCATAATTGTGCTCTTTGGAGTTTACATGGAGTCCTGCTTGAAAAAAAAAAAAACAGCGAGAATGGTTGACAAACGAAACAGATAGCGTTCGAACGTTGGAGAAAAGCAACTATTATCGTCGATGTAGTAAAGACGATGTATCGTTTGCAGCGGCGCAGGAGCGAGTCTATCATGCGTTCGAACATTGTCGGGTTTGAACGCATGACAGCCAAAATGGCATAATCTTGAAGTAATGGAGGCCATCTGATGGGATGGAGACAGTTTTTTCTCGATGTGAGTTGTCGACAGAAACGTGCCAGTAACCCATGTGTAGGCGTGTAGTCGAGAGAAGTACGGTGCGCTATGAAGACAGGGTGCCATCGATTCATGGCAGAGGATTATTCTGTTCTAGAGGATTCTCTGCGATTATCTTGTTCAAGACAAAATAGTCGGCGCAAAATGTCAATCTACCATTCATCCTTATGACCAAAACGACAGGCCACTCTCACAAACTTAAAGGCCCCTGTGACGCCCTGCGAGAGCATCTACTCATTGTATGACTTGGCGCTCGGAATGGGATAGACAATATGGTCATTGTCTGACAAGACTAGCATCATTGGTATGTATTTGGTGACATTTCATTGATGTCTGACCTAAAGGATAGTCATCGAAGTCGAAGAAATTTCTATAGATCATCAGGATCTAGTGAACTTGCACGGCCAGACAGAACAGAAGATCAGAGGCATTCATTTGCGCTATTTCGTTGGTGGTGTGCTTGCTGGGCTGATTGCAACAGATAGTGAGCAATTTTTAGGCTTTATTGTCATGACGTAACATGCATCAAGTGCTGAGATGTTGTTGGGCAACGAAATGCTTTCTGGAAGAACTTGGGCCAGTTGCTAAAGTTGAGAAGCCGGAGCAGCACGGAGTTGTCGAAGACAATAAGGAGGGTATCGAGCCAAGAGGACATCAACTAACGAATACACTATGTAGTTACTGTCGAAAAGACGTAGTGAAGTCATCAGGCCACACACGTGGCGTACTGCGGTGACAGTCGAACACAGTCAACAGGCACAAGCGGTTTGACGGCAAAGCTGTTAAGCAAGCCGAGGCAGTTCAAGCTGCAGAATGCTGGTTACATAGTCAATCAGAGCGGCATGCTTGGACAAAAGTGATATGCAAGAATGACGTTATTTGGGCATTGCTGATGAACAGCGAACAAAAACAACAGATGTGTGGTGATCAACAATGGTGATCCGTGCTGTGCACATTCCTATGATGGCAGGACTGCTGTCAGCAACACGAATAAAAACAAAAGCAGCCGGGGTCAGCACTTTCTTTACGTGGCCGCGAAGTCGAGCACTTATCACGTAAATATGCACTCAAGTATCAACAAGCGCAAAAATAGTCAGGCTGTCGACGTCAATATAATCTCGTCGTGTCGACAGCACTAGGGTATGATTCGAGGTGGAAGTATAGGATGCTGCATTACCTCAGAGATCTGCATCTCTCAGTTTCTCTGTCGGACATTGAATGGCGACGCTGAACGTCGTCACAGAGGAGACTGGGACAGCAGTATCAGCGTGGCAAATACAAATAAAAGGTTACAGTACAGGGTGGAAGAACATAAACAAACAGTTAGAAAACAGGAGCCCAGGCAAGCTGTGCTCTTTGCGAAGCTCGTACATTTTTGCGTGTTACACGAGCCCCCGTTATACGTTGTTAAAGCAGAATTAGGAATTTTAGAACTAATGAAAAGTAGAAAAAGCATATGAGAATTTGAATTATTTATTGCAATATGTAGCCACTTTGCCGCCACTTGATCCCATGTATGGTCATTTTTCGCAGCAGTAACATTGACACCTCTGAGGCCCGAGGAGCCAAGACGACACTCCCGTGAGCGCCCTGGCAGTCGTCATGCTCAACACCGATGGCGGCTGCATGAGGACCTCTGTCAACATTGGCTTATGGACAGCTGCGCGTGGCCGCAGTGCAATAGGCGCTGCCCACGAATGCTGGACCCGATGACTGGCCGTGAGCTTCGGTTCTCTGATTTGCTGCGCTCCTTTGGTCTTGACGTCGCTGCTGTTGCAGCAGCACTAGGACTGGACCAGGCGGCACTTGCAGCTATGGAGCCGGATGCTCTTCTGCATGCCGACTAATCACATGCGCCAAGTACAATCGTACACACACACAGTGACGAGTGCAGTGCATGCCGACAGTGCAGAGGTGTTGTATCCCAGTTGACTGAAGACATCTTGGCTAAAAACCTGCGCGGTGAGACTGCAGAGAATTTGCGACTTGCGCATTCTGGACAGTGCAAGGAGTACAGACTTGTAGATTGGGCTACGTTAAGTCCCTGTCTTTTACAACATCCATCTCACAGGAATGTGTTCTAAAGAAACATTTGCTGGTCTGCCAGTGCATGCTCCAAGCTAATCAGCCAGCCAGCCTCCGGTGAACAGCTGCCCTGCGTTCTGGACCAAGTTAGCAGATGCTGAACAGAGCGATAGTAATATGTCAAAAAGTTTACTGGATTTTGGTGTTAACTGCTAGTGGCCATGGTACACCGCCACGAGGCATACCTGCGTATCATTGTTTGAGTAGATGTTGAATCAATGTATTGGTTCTAATGGGTCACCTGTGATGTTTGGATCACAAATCATGTTTAAGATATTGGTGTGAAGGAAATGTTGTGGTCTGTTGCAGTGAGAAGCAATGTCGCTGTTCTTGTGGTTTCTTAACTGCATCGTCAGCATTCATTTACTAATGAGCTGCAAAGGTATATTTCAGGTAATCGCTCTGTTTTTAAGCTTTAAAGGTGCAACAACTGTGACGACAGATGGCAGTAGACTTTTGTAGTTTTCCCGAATCAGCGTTTCTCTAAGTAGTTACATTTTTCAGCTACAAAAGTATTTCGTTGCGAACAGCTTTGAGACTGCAATAAGTGGAGAGTCTCTGAAATAGCGTAGTTAAGTTGCCTGTACAAAGCATTTGAAATTGTTATGAAAATGCTTTAAGGAGTGCGAAAAATGAGAAAAAATGAAGAGCGCATAATCGACTGTCGTGTTCTTAGCATTCTTTTCTGTTGCGTTTGATCCTGTTCGCAAGACATTGAATTGCTTCAGAGAAATTCTCATTGTCATATCCCAAAGCCAAGAAGTCTAGATAGGTGTACTCGTGGTGGATCTGTCTCAAATGGGAGGAGATCAGTGTGCTTAGAATGAATGACTGTAATATTTGTATCTGTGTCTGTGACTGTAATAGTATTTCAAAGAGTTCTCTAGATTTCTCTAGGGCAAAATGTGCTAATTTCACATTTCAAAAACTCGCAAAAATACCAAGACCTTAGCTCATACCTTTGGAGATTCTCCAACATTGTGTATCTGCTCTTCTAAGTTTTCCTGAATGAGCGTCATATGACAACTGCTTCTAGTGCTTGTAAACACATCTATGAAACAACAGTAAACCAAACTGCATTTTCGTCTGCTTGTTTTTAAAATTGCTCCTGCAACATTGATGTCTACATGTTACAAAGCTCACGTCACCAACCAACATGCACTTTACTTAGTCCTTTTTCTGGGTTTGCTTTACGCATTTCTGAGGGTGTCTGTGGGCCGAATGTTAGCCAGCTATCACCCACGGCACTGCTATTTTCCCTTTCAGAATATTTGATTCCCTAAACTATGCCCAAGTTTTAGGCTACAATGCGGTCAATTAAGATTCAAGTAAACAACTTGCAGCTTAAAGCATCAACAGAATGGCAAACTGCTCTTCTATGTATCAAACAGTACATGCAAAGCTCTTCATGCCAGCATTATTTTCGTTTTTGTATGAGTGTAGGAAATTGTGGCCACGAAGCAATCCTGCAAGGCTAAGGGGTAATTTTTGGAGTGCGTGAAACGCTAAGGACCTTGAATGGCCAAGGCCACTTGCATCTTTGGTGCTTACTTTTGTAAATTGCTGATGTATGCATGCATATGTACTCAGAACAGCTTTGATTTAGATGAGAGGTACTTTTGACAAGGTTATACCTTGTTCTTGACTAAAATATCTTCACAGGCAAAGATCAGGTATCACCTCGCAATAAAGACAGCGATACCTGCTTTTGTTATTCTACATTCACTACAGGACTCGGTTCAATTAAAAAAAATCACGCATCATGACGTTTCGACCGTTAAGATACACGTGCTTTACTGGACAAACGGCAGGAATTTAGATTTTGTGTATACTGCTGACTACGCATACTACAAGACCACAGCGAAAATACAACTAAACATTCACGTGTACGCGGAAAGCACCCATCTCAATAATCAAGAGCAATATCGCTTCTAGATGTTCTTGTAGAATAAAAAGTGATTGTTCATCTCAGCATCTGTCAAGACATTTCAATTGAAATAGACTGATTCATCACTTTTATAAACTTAGTGAAAATGCTAAAGCTACGGTGTTTATTAATTCCTTGAAGGAGTTGCAGATGAAATACTTTGGCAAGTCACATTTGGAAAGTATGTGGTAACATTATTTGTCTCAACCATTCTTAAGAATGTTCGCTTTGTGGCACCATAACCATTTGTTAGAGCTTCAACATGTCACCAGAAAAAACACCTTCTATGCATGCACCTAAGGTGCAAAAAGTGAGGGTTGATTCTAATCACTTCCTTAATGAAATGACAATGCATATGATTTCATCATTATTCTAGTCCACTACTCAACAACTTTGTTCTTTTTTACAGCAGCGAAGGCCCAGAGTGCTCGATGCTAATTCAAAAGTTGTGTCTAACGTAAGTAATAATGTACTTGTATCTTTCATCACATATTTGTCTATGCTTTACCAATTTTATGCTGCGAATTCCTAGTACAGGGCTTTATGCACTGAAAAAGGTCACTATTGGAAACACGCATTAATCCATTCGGCGTTCCTTCTATGGAATAGTGCTGGAGTATAGTGAAGCTCAACTTTGATTGTGAGTTCTTTGAGCCGAGTGTGTACTCACTTACGGAAAGAAGATATTGAAATTGTGATTTGAAAAACTGATCATAAATTTTCATTCGAGCATGAACCTTTAGTTGCTCATATTTGTAATTCACTTTGCTTACTGAGAGTCATATACGGGTTTTTTGTGTACTGAGCACATTAAGTGCTTACCAAGATGTATTACAGGCAACTGAAGAGTTAGACTTTATGCCACAGTGATCCAGCTAAAAAAATAGTTGTTCGATATTATGACGCATACGTTTTCAAAACTCTGGATAAACACAGCAGCACCTCATGCGCGTCGTCCGGTGAAGTAGTGAGCGTGCTAAAATTTTTGTATTTGTTTTGACATGCAACAAACAGTACTGCTTAGAAAGTTATCATGAGGAAACGCACCATTGAATTTTGTTTTAGAAAAGCGAGTCTCTTCGGCCCAGCTTACTGACTCTTAAGCAGCCACTGTCGAACTAATATTTAAAAACATTATCTTTCTCACGAAGACGTTGAGCATGGTGAAAAGTACTGGTGGTTGAGTATTTTGCAGATAAAAACATGTTATTCGCAGATGTTCTGTCAAAATACTTGCTTGCGGATACAATGCGCTACCCCGATGGAATGAATAGATAATAATTGAACGATTCTATTGCGTTTCGTCAAACAGACGAGCGCTATAGTTGATTGAGTGTCAGATGCATTACTTGCATTCTCATATTTATGCCGCTGAAGTTAAGATGAAAAACACAGCAAAAATGTGCGTATATAGTTTCTAACATTGTGTCTGGCTTGCGGAATGCACTGCCATTGATACTGTATACAATAACAGCCATATTGTATATCATTGTAGCCTATGTATACTATCTGTGCCATTTTCACATGTAGCTTCCAGTTCTCAATTTTTTTGTTGTTGTCTTTGTGTGTTGTCATGCGCTATGTTTAGAGATATGTGGAGCAAAACGGGTATAAAAGCAGCTGTAGGCATTGTGTTCCCATTTTACACATTTACAACTCAGGGTTGCATTGTTGTTCTGTATAACTGCCTTGTAGATAAACTTGTACTAATAAAGTAACCACACTTTATATAAATTATATTTGTTCAATATCTATTGCCTCTCCTATTTTCTACTTTTGTGTATTGAAATATTCATATGAAAAGATCAGAGTCATTTCGCGTTTCCACTGCTGAATAACTTAACTTGTGGTTGATGTTAAACCAAAGCACCAGTTTGCCATGCATGTCGTCTCGCCTTACCACTTACTCCTTGCATGAACACTGAATAACTTCTTATTGATTTATTAATATTACCCACAGCACCTAGTGACATAATCATGAAGTTCGGGTGTACATACATATAGTGAGAAACATGTAAGCAGGATACAGAAACATTATGGGCCAACTCCCCAAAGAAAACACTGATGGAATGCAAGGCAGCAGCGGTGCGCACGGCGTTGACTTGGTTGAAACGGGCGTCGACGCGGGTGCTGTAAAGTGCTAACCACTGGCACGCGTACGCTCGCGTCTACGCGTCAAAAGCGTCAAATGCGCCTCGGTGTAACGTTTACTTGAGTTAACGTTTATTTGAAACACAAACACACGGGAGGCGGGTTGGGTGTCCTGTAAGTTTTATCCCCGAAAGACTGTTCGCTCGATGTGTGCTCGAACGTTCCGAGTGATGGAGAGGGTCCGCACTAGAGATCTATCGAACTTTGAAGCAGGAAATTGCCAAAGAAAGGATCTATGATAATACTCGGGGTAGTTCTCTACTGTTTGAGGCAAGGACGGGAGTACTGCGAATCAAGACATATCGGGCCAAATACGAAGAGGTAGACACAGTATGCAGTGCGTGTGGAGAGGAAGAAGAAACTGCCGAACACTTGATAATGTTCTGTAAAGGGCTTCGCCCTATAATTCAGGATGATGGCGCAGAGTTTTTCAAAGCACTGAGGTTTAGGGACGGGGAGGGCAAAATAGACCTTAAGCAAGTAGACTTAACTAGAAGGATGTTATCTGATTGGTGGCTAAAGTCAAGGCACGAGTGAAAATTAAACTCTTCACTGCAAAGTACGAATCCTCAAACTCACTTTTTAAGGAAAAAAAATAAATATAGTTTGGGTTCATTAAGTATTACGGCTTGGTGGCGCTAGCCACCGCCCGATCTAAGGGGTACAGCCATATCCATCCATAAA